GTTATACAATACAGGCGGTGCAGATCAATGAGGGAGTTTGCTGAAAAGAAGATCAAAATACTTCTGAAAAGACGCTGCGTCTTTTAGCATGGTCTGAAGGTGCTTAGCAAATGTAGTGCGGTGCTGGGTGCGCCACTCCACAGGCAAAGAATTAAAGAACAGGGCAGCACGATTTGAAAAGGAATTGACACCGTCAGTCGTCCGGAATTTAGATATTGCAATAGCAGCATTAAAAGAGCTTCTTGTTGTCCTAGGGCCGGTTGAAACTTGAGGGAAAAGGTCCGTCAGATTTGGGAGAGGGAAAACGACATGATTAACATGGATAAATTTAGCAATGCTACGAATAAGGTAATGTTCAAACGGATCGATCGACAATCTAGCTAACAGCGGCATGACGTCCTCTTGTAGTTTCGAGCCACAAGCAGCGCGTACAGAACGACGATAAACGGACGAGAGTCGCTGTCGGTCCTTGGCGGATAGCTTCATTGCAAAGCAAGAGCAGCAGTATAATAAGTCAGGCAGGATAACCGAGAGGATAAACTGCCGTGTTGCCTTCAAACTTAGTTGCCGAAAACACCGTCGAAGAGCGCCAATTTTCGTGCAAGTCTTCCTAACGATAAAGTCTATGTGACCAGACCAAGAAACATCACTGTCTACAATGACTCCCAGGATTCTCGTGCTAGACACTTGAGTCAGAGGCTGTTGGTTAAAAACGATTGGAGTTGAGAGGGGTTGAGAAGACTTAGAAATCATCAAAGTTACAGTCTTTGTTGTATTAATGCGCAGCCCAAGCTCGTCTAGATCCACAGAAATTGCAGATAACGAATCAGTAACGGTAGCGACGGCCTCAGCTTGTGTACGTCTGCTGGCATACAACGTCATGTCGTCAGCGAACATCGGGAGCTTGCAAGAAAAGGCCTCTGCTGTCAATGGGAGCTTCCGTACATATATGTTAAATAGCACCGGACCCAGAATGGTGCCCTGTGGCACGCCACTAGTGATTGCCACCAACGGAGATGTTCCAGTGTGGGTAACCACCCGCTGTTGTCTGGCACAAAGGTATGATCGGAACCAGGCCAGGGCCACTCCCGAAATACCGACAGCTGCGAGAGCAAGAAGAAGCTGTTGATGCTTCACCATATCGAACGCTTTTTTCAAATCAATACAGACAACCGCCGTATGCAGTCCAGCGTCGCGCGAGACAAGCCAGTCGTTCGTAACCTTGGTGAGAAGCTGTCCGGTAGAACGGTGCTTCCGAAAGCCAAACTGGTCCACATGGAATGGGCAACGATCATTAAAAAAAAGATGTATACGAGAAAACACAAGCCCCTCCAGGAGCTTGGCTAGGATAGATGTTAAAGACACTGGGCGGTAGTTAGAAGGGCAGTCGCGGGGGCCTTGAGTTGACTTCAGAATTGGTGTAATGTTTGCAATTTTGAACAAGGATGGGAATTGACTAGACGAGAGGGAAGTGTTGAATAAGATAGCAAGTGATAGAGCAATTACGTCTTTTGATATTTTAAGTAGACACGGAAGAATGCCGTCCGGTCCAGGGGCTTTATTACTTTGGAGGTCACCGATCCGAAGCTTCACCTCTGCTACTGTAACGGCTGAAAACGTAGTAAGGTCGTCGGATTTAGCAGGTCCCATTGGGAGCTTGTAATTCGCTTCCTTATCTGTGACAATCGAGTGAAAATAGTCGTTCAATCGCTCAGGTGGGATGGTAACTGTTTGCTTCGGAGAGGAACGCTTTGTGATCATATTCAAGGCTTTCCAGAACTGCCGAGGCTCCCGTTCATACCGCTGGCACTGGTCTGAAAAGTAAAGATTCTGTAGGTGTCGATACAAGTTATTGCACTGGTTGCGCAGCCGCTTGAATTGTACAGATAGGCTCTCGTCTCGAAAGTTAGTAGCTTTTAGTTTCTTGAAGACCGATTTGCGCTTTCTAATCAAGGCAAGGAGTGGCGAGGTCATGAACGGGCAATTTTTCCGACGGGACTTCCTGTGTTTCCTGGTTACGTACGGTGCGATGATATCAAGCACAGCATTGACTTTCCCTGTCCACTCGTCCAACATCAGGTCTGGGGTACGGGATGTAAAGATATGAAGATCGGAGGACAGCAGCATATCGCAGAAACGCTGAGCGTTGAAGTTCCGGTAGTCTCTGCGTGTTTGATGGGTAGTAGTATTGCTCCGCGCATCCATGATGGGCACTGGGACGGAAGTAATGACGAGGCGATGGTCTGAAAACTCACAGTCCACGACAGAGGCTGACGGAACTCGATCAATGTTTGTGAGAATACAGTCAATGGATGTACGGGTAGAGCCTGTTATTCTTGTTGCTTCAGTTACTTTATTGGCCAGTCTGCACGGAAGTAGCAACGTGTCTTTGAGATGGTGGAACGCACTGGACGTCTGACGCAGAAAGTCCACATTTATGTCACCTAGCAACACAATATTCTCGCCGTCCAGCTGCTCCGTGGATGTAGCGAGCCGATTCCAAAACTCTACCGGCTCGGATGGGGGACGGTATATGCAACCAAACAAGGTACTATCTTTGCCTGTGCCAGCTCTAAGCCACATCAACTCTAGACTGGAGTGTGAGTGGTCCAAGATGTGCTTAGCCTTAACATGTTCCTTTACGAAGATGCAGATCCCGCCTCCTTTACGACATGGAGTGCAGGAGGATAGGCAAGTGCATCCATCAGCGCACGGCCTGTCTCGACGTAAGAGAATTGTGCCTGGTACAGAAACCTCAGTGTCCGAGATGCTTGAGTCGAGCCACGTTTCCGTAACCGCCAGCAGATCTAGGCAGTGCTCATCTATTAGCTTAGTTATAACATGGGTTTTATGTCGTAGGCTGCAAATGTTTATGTGGCCAACATTTAGTCGGTTGGATGGATGAATTGTAGAGTAGAATGCTGGGGTTGAGGGATTTGGAGACGAAGGGGTGAACACAGGAGCATGCGGGTTCAGGGGCTGTGAATACCGGTAGGTGGTGTGTGGCATTATGTGAGTGCTGGAGCTGTGCCGTCAGCACCAAAGCGCCATTCACGAACTGCAAAACCGAGCGAGTCCGGCCAAAATGCTTTGTCCTGTACGGTGGTGGCGTCCGACGCCAGCACTGTGACCCTGGCAAACCCTGTTCGGAAGCGCTCCGAGGTGTACACAACACTCTGCACGATGTGTACATCCTGTGCCTGACAATGCTCTGCAATTGATTTGGCATCACATTCGGGGTCCACGTTGCCAACGTAGAACACTTTGACTCTTGGCTTACCCGTTAGTGCACATCGGGTGGTGCTCTTTGGAAGCTTGGGTGCCAGCCAGCGAGACGATTCCTGTCGCCTGTACGGCTTGGGAGGCTGGCGTTGTGGCCTTTGGGCAGCTGGGGCAGCTGCAGGGGCAGTATTTTTGGGCTGCAATGCTGGTTGTTGGTGCAAAGTTTCTGCATACGTGGGTCGATGTTGTGGGGTGGAGGATACGGTTTTGGTAAAGCTTGGTTCAGTGGGGTCATTGTTCAAAGTTTGAATCACCGTATCGTACCTCTCAACTTTGGCATGCAGGTCGTTCCTAAGTTCCCGTACTTCCGTCTTCAGGCACAACACCTCTCTGGCAGAATCGTTGAATTTAGCTTCTATTTCTCTCATGGCGTGTAACTCAGTCTTCAACTCTCGGACGACATTAGTGAGTTCAGACAGAGCTGAGCACAGGCTGGCAACAACACCCTCATTAGCAGCCAGGGGGCTCGTGCTAGTAGGTTCACTTACTTCTTTGTCCTCATCCAGCGATGTTCTGAGCAGGGCAACAAGATCGGGTCTGGTGGCTTTTCGTGGGATTTCCAGTCCACGCTGCCTGATGAGGTCCCTCAGCTCCCCGTCGATCAGGACTGCAATGTCCACTTCAGCAGCGGGCTTATTAGCCATTTTATTACTAAATAAAGGACTTTTCCGGTGGCCTAAAGCCCAGGAAATTACAAAAAAGGCCGCTTTTCGGGAGCCAAAAAAGGTGCTGCCGCCCGTGACTGTAGTTCGTATATCGTTATAATTATTATGGTATCGGCGTACATGCGATTCCCGGGCTGGTCGACAGGCGGCCCAGCCAGCCTGCTAGTGGGATCTCGGCCTCGCACACAAATCCACACAAAATGTTACTGCACTGAATGCATTCCCCCGATACACTTCGCATATATACTCATTCCCTTCATGGTACCGTACTCTTGATGGTACGGGACAGGTACGGGATAGCGCCAGACATGTCGATGGCACAAACAAACACAAATATTGTGGCCAGCTGTCTTTGCTGGTACGGTACAGTACGGGACAGATACGGGATAGCGCCAGGCGTGACACAAACAAACAAACACACAAACAAACACCAAATTAAAGCTGTGTGGACCCTGGCTAGCGCCAGACGTTACTGAAGTAACGTCTTCTGCATAGCTACGGGAATAAAACTAATTCTTGTTGAATTGCACCGCGCCTACCACTCGGCTACCTGTTACACTTCGGTGTACCTCTTCGTGAAATGAACAGTCTGAAACACATTAGGAATTGCTTCAATAGACATATTGCGAACTTATTCCATATGAATAGCTCTGGTAGTTAGGCAAGTGAGGATGCATACCCACACTTCAACTGTTTCAGTTTCCGTTTTCACATACATTGGCCCAAAGCAATCAAGATCAACAGATTCGAACACCCTCCCAGGGACAAGCCGTTCCTCAGGCAAAGGTGCAAATGGTGGTGTTGCAAATGGCTTTCCATGATGGCGTTTACACAAAAGACATTCCTTAATCACCCGTCTAACCATTGCTAGACCTTTAGGCACCCAGTGATTCCGTCTCAATTCAGCCAATGTCTGACTAACACCCGAATGTTTAAGTGAGATATGCTGTTCCATTACAATTAACCTCGGTAAGTGTGAACCATAAGCTAGCAATACAGGAAATTTACTTTCGAATGGTAGGTGAGAACACTCCAGTCTACCCTTACATCGGATTAAACCATTATCAAGAAAGAGACCTGATGTCGCTTGCCTTGTTCTATGGCCTTGATTTCATTTCCAAAGTGCTGAGCTTGATGATACCGAATGATAGCTACTCTTGACATTCCGATTTCTTCAGCTGTGAGATTCGTTTCACTCTCCGACTTTTCGTGTTTGAGTTTCCGTATGAACCGCTGTACCCATGCATTCACTCTCACAAGCTTACAAAACGAGAAGAACTCCTCACAGTTGACTACCTCATTGTGTTCATTACTAACAAAGGCCGATTCGGGAGAGGGACCTTCGTCCGCATTTTCCTCGCAAATTGGCATTTCACTTCCCGTAGCTTGCATTGCGGGAAACATACTTTCTGGATAGGAACCAGACTTCAACCACGTTGGACCCTCCCACCACAAGTTGTTCTGCTGTAAACTCGTTCCATTAGCTCCTCGTGAAATAATATCAGCTGGATTTTCTTTCCCAGAAACATGACCGTACATGACATTATTCACCACGTCAATGGTTCTAATTCTTCTTGCAATAAATTGCGGCCGCTGTTGATTTCCCGTTACCCATGCTAGTGCACATTTTGAGTCGGTCCATATGTGCGTCTTGTTGAGCTCGAATGGTACTTGCTCTCTAAGAAATTTGACCATCTTTGTACCAAGTACTACAGCAAAGAGTTCCAACCTAGGAATGGATGTGGGCTTGGTTGGCGCAATGCAACTCTTGCTAAATATCAGGTCGACTGAAACATTATCGCCACAAGTAGTGAGTAGGTACGCAGCAGCACCATACGCATGTGCGGATGCGTCAGTAAAAACGTGTAGTTCATACTTCGGAGTTGAACCGTCATCACTTCGAGTACCCACAAACCTTGGCAATTTTATTCCATTAAGTGACAACAGTGAATCACACAATTTCTGGCATTCTTTGCGTACATCGTCTGGTGAGATATCATCCCACCCAAATTTTCTCTTCCAAAGCTCCTGCATGATGATTTTCGCCTTAACCGTGACAGGACTGACTACACCCATTGGGTGGAATACTGACGAAATACATTGCAGTAGCTGACGTTTTGTTTCGATCTCATGAAATGCCCTTGGCGGTGGTACCCAAATTACGTCATCCTCGGTATCCCAGCCCATGCCTGGAACTTTCGTGCGGTTACCTTTGACTTGATCATTCTCCGTTTCCATTTCTTTCTCACTGATGACTGATGACTGACTCATTTTCAAGATTCCAAAACCGTTCCAAGTCAAATTCTTTCGGTGCACATGCTTCTGCCGCAAATAACGAGAGCGCCTCGTGGCACATTAGTGTGTGATCATCATTTCCGTTCGACTTCACCTTGCCTGCCACCAAAAACCCAAGAGTGGAATCGATCAAAATGAGACCATCTGGGTATTCCAATCTTTCGCTGCCAACAAATTGAAAGTATTGGTCAGCTCCAATTAAGATATCAATAGGCATTGCTTCAAACGTATTGCATAGAGGCTCCGCTAAGATAAGTTTCTGTAAGCTAGAGTGCTTTGCTGTGCTCAAAGGTACTTTCTGTAGTGGACACGAAATGTTGTTGATAACATTTGCCTGTATGGAAGCTTATTCACCATTCTTCTGCTTGATGTGCAAATTGACTACAGGGTATTCCTTTACCGATCTGTGTGTTGCACCAAAGGTTGAAAGTGAAATTCTGTCACTTCCCTCTTGTTTGAGCGCCAATGCTTTGTTGACATTCTTACTGACGTATGTTCTCGATGAACCCGTGTCAAACAAGATCCTTACAGTCTGTGACCTGTTGCCTTCCTCATTTTGTTGTAGTAGTCAAAGCAGTTAGCATTAGAACCCTGTGCCCTTGTGTGTGAGAAACCATTGCCTGATCTTGCGTTGGTTCAAATTACTCTGCCATTGCGTTTAATGTGTGTGCCTGTTTTGTCCATCACCACGATGCTTTCCATCATTATTTCGCTCTTCATTTGACTTGAACTTCTGTGGACACAGACTTCTGTGGTGGGACTTGCGTTTGCAATGGTAGCATGTTCTAGCATTCATGCCAGCTCTTGCTCCGTGTCCCGCTTTCAGACAGATGTAGCATTTCATACCCAGCCGTGTTTTCCGTTCATCTAGCGATTTGTACTTTTGACATTCATCAGAGTAATGCTTTCCATCACAATACATACATTTGATATTACGAGCTACACCATCACCCGAAAGTAGAGACTGCCCTGTTGATAGTATCTTCATTGAGTGATTGGTGTGTTGCCATGATTGTTGACCTTTGCATGCGGCTGGTCCTTCTACTTTCTCTTTTGCCTTTAGTAAGTGCGATAGTGCCAACCGCGACTCACTAATAGTCCATTTATCGTTCTGTTTGGTGAGCTCAAGTTGTAATTTCACATCACTCGGGAGCTTGCTTAAGATTATTGTAATGAACACCTTTTGCGACACATCCTCATCATGTGCTTCAAGGCTCCTGCGGAGCACTTCAATTTTGTCAACACAAGACCTCAAACTTTCGATTTTTTTGGTGCAGGCCGACATATCCATTAAAGCAGTGTAGTGGGCCGCCACCTTAGCTTGCTTACTCCCGAATCTCTTCTCAAGCAGATCCCTGGCAACTTCATAATTTGCATTACAAATTCTTAAACCTTTCAGCACGTCTTGTGCTTTCCCTCCCACACATCCACGGAGATAGTTCAACTTTTCAACTGGTGACAAGGAGGAGTTGCCATGAATAGTAGCATCGAAAATGTTCCAAAACTCTTGGAACTCCATTATGTTCCCATCAAAATGCTTTATCTCCAATTTGGGTAACTGGCAGTTGCCTGGGTCTTCGATTCGGTTCTAGTATCCCGCTCTACCAAGGGTATAGTATCCCGCTCTACCAATCTTTTTAGAAGATTTTGGGTTGACTCTTGGGTGTTAGCTTGCGTCCCAATCAATTTCGTAATCTCAACCAAGGTAGAGTCTGTCTGCATTGTAGGCTGGACGCCTGATGCCACTTCCATTTTTCTCAATTTTCTCTGGAGTTTGAAACCCTTCTCTAGTGTCTCTGTCCATAACCCAGCCTCATCCTCCAAACCATTCTTAATCTCTTTGTTGTCTTTACCCTCTGACTCATATTCCTCCATATTCTGAACAAAATCATTCAAGTTAGCTTCCGTTCTTTCCAACAATTCCTTTAAACCACAAAGAAACGGACTTATCTGGTTGACGGGCTTGGTTCCTGCTAGCAGATCTTCGCCGACTGTCGCCTCCTTCTGCAGCTCTTCGTACAGGAGCTTGAGAACACGCTTGCTAGTCTGGATAGCCGTCGGCAATCTTGTGTCGCCCATTTTCACAACTCAAGCCCCAAAGGGCGAGTCAACCAGGAGCAAGGCTCGGTTGGGAGCAGTGCCGAGGAACTAGGAAGCAGGTTTCGGCACCATGTCATTAACCGGCACAAACCCGCAAGTGCAAAGTTAGGAGATGAGTTGATAACTGATTTATTTGCTCCGACTGAAAGAGAATTTATACGATATTAAAGTGAACGTGGCAGTGCAACATCGTACGGAGCACGCGCACTTCATTATTTTGGGAGAGCAGTATGCAGCAGTTGGGGAAAAAGCGAGCTCTGGCATGGCTGTGTAAACCTAGAGGGTCTGAGGCTACAAACTGTGCATGTGTCAGAACTTGCCGTACAGAGTTCACAGTACAATATTTACAGTATAGACTAAGAGAAAGCTACAGATTGCTGCAGTGCCGAAACATAAACTAAAACATGTAAAATGGCAAAATTAAACTATCTCGCTTCCCGGCATGGATCAATGAAGTCGTGAATAGATGTCGCCCCTGAGCGACTTCAACTGAGAGAAAGTTTCAGTTTCAAGAAGCTGGACATTGTTTTTTCTGTGGAGTCTTCCACAAGAAACACAGAGCAACGCACACGAAGGTGCTTGATGTTTTCAGTACATTCTTGGCGATGAACATATTTACATTGCCATATTTATTCCATTTTCGTCTCAGCACCGTCAACGATGTCCATTTCTGAATCCACAAAGCAAGTGCTGCGTGTATGCTGGATCATTTGAAATCAGTCTCCGCTCTAAGATGGGCATGCAAAAATTACTTGAATGACAATATTCTGAAATAGCTTTTCTAAACGACGACATTAATTTTGTTCTTCAAAGATGTTGAATAGCACAATCTACTAGCCAGAACGTGCTCTCAAAAGAAATTCAATCTGATGCCTGTAAGATATTTGACCACCCTTTGTTTTGGAGAGGAGCCCACACACACACCTGACTCGAGCTACAAGTCGACTACGCGGAGATCGAGATTTCTTGCTCACTTCTGAAATATGTGAATGAAAAAAGTTTGTTGGGCGCGTAAATGCCTCCAGTTGAGTCATAATAATTTTGATTCTGACGTGGATTCTGTGACCGTTCACAGAGAAAGTCGCGGCTGTTTGTGACTGGTTATGGGGATTCAAACTGGTGTGGCACTTTATGACTGCTCTTCGGTGATTTGTGACTGTTTCATTGGTGACGGGGATCGTGATCCGTCATCCAGACGTGACTGCTCACTGAGTCCTACATTTATAAACCAAAAAAAAAACAGATTTATCTCATTACTAGTGTCTGATGATCGTCTAGTGTGTAAAACTCAGAGTAACACCTAGTTATTAATCCTCTATGTCTTGAAACATCAAATCGCGAGACAACAGTGCGCCGGGTGTGCCTCACGTGGTTATGACTTCCAAAACATGCGCAAATCAGCGCTGCCTCCGCAAATTACTCTGGGAAGACTCCTGCTAGACCCCCGCATGAGATACTCCTAGCGGCTAGTACACTCGTGCATTTCTGCCAACAATCACAGGGAAGCGTGTCGCACTGCGATTGGTGAGTCGAAAGACGCTAGCCGTGCGGATTGTAAACAGATGGTGCTTTCTGCTACGTGGGTCACTTCAAGCCACGGGTGTTGCTTCAGTTCTTGGACTAGTGATTGTAAACAGATGGTGCTTTCTGCTACGTGGGTCACTTCAAGCCACGGGTGTTGCTTCAGTTCTTGGACTAGTGATTAGTGTTTTAGACACATTTGTAGAGATATACTGTTCCCCTGCCGTTCTAGAATTGCTCTGCATGACGCAGTCTTGATATTGTCATTTTACTTTGTTGGACGGTAGCAATAATATTACAATAAATAGTTGAGGGTGAGTAACGTAGGCTTTACCCCATCTGTGGATTGGATTGAGAACGATACCAAAGAGACCATCGAGAGTAACATGATTGCCAGGGTTCTTCACGGCACCAGCGCCCTGCTAATCGCTATCAGTAAGTCATGTATGTAGTTCTGGATGACAGTCTAGACTTCTTTAGCTGCTAGGAAAGATAATAATTGTGAACGTTTGGATGCAGATTAGTCGAACAGTGCATAGTGTGCCTCATTAACGCAAGAGAAAGCAAACTTGCCCCAGAAAGATTTCTCTGACTTCTTGGAGTCGCGCAAGATGATCCTCAGTGGAATTGAAAGAGCCAAATGACAAACAAAGGCAAGAAAGAAATTTCGAATGGCCCGTATCAACTAATATTCTGTTTGTCTGTAGCCTAAGACAGTGCTAGGTTCATGTTTAAAGATCGTGCTGCTCACTCGCTACTTTTTCATTATTATTATTATTATGGCTACAGGTCTGTGTTTGTCTCCATCGCTTGGTGCCATATTGCGAAACTGTCAACCAGAAGATGGAAAAATACAAACATATGGCGATACTGTATACGTCCAGCCAGCAAATGATCCTTCAACTCTAAGTGTAAGGGCTGGGGAAAACCTCTACAAGAAGCCGTTCATCTTCACATCACCATGCGATGTATCATTCAAGGCTATTTCTCTTCTGTACTACGGAACATGCTCTGTATCAGTGAGTTATGGAAGCGATGACAGAGTTCTTGATATGCTTCAATTTCCAGATCTGCGGACCCCTAACTGGCATCGTAGAAACGTGAGCTTGACCAATGCGGCTTCCGAATCGCTTCAAGTGATCATGAAAAGCAATAATACGAGCAGGTTCCTGATCACGATTTCCCCTGGTATATCTAATTGTGAATTACATAAAGTCGACCACACAGCAGCAAGAGGATTGATCATCATTGGACAGGGTAAGCAACTGAATTATGGTATTTCCCAACATTTATTTTCCTCAGAACTGCTCAAGGATATCTTTTAAAAATGTGATGTCTGTTTCCGCGATGGACACGAAGTAGATTGAAGGTCAGAGCACAGCCTATCATTCAATAGAGTTGCCTTGGCCCGACATACATGTTAGTTCATTTTGATCTGATATTCTCCTTTCGTTTATTTTCAACTGTATCCTTTCTCTCTCTCTCATCTTGTTTCTCTCTATTTCTCCCACCATCTCTCTACATCTCTCTCTCTCTCTCTCTCTCTCTTCTGTCTTCTCTTGCTCTCTTCAATTATTTGTGCAGCACATATTAATGTGACTTACCAAATATAGCTTATGGTCCTTCGGACTTCTATGACGTGCCTGCATTTTATCTGCAGTCCCCTCGTAAAATAACCTTCAGTCTCCTCTCAATGCTGGGTGTTCTCTGCAGTTATTCCAACGTCTATTTCTGCAAGCACTGTCCCCAGCACTGCTAAACCGACCAAATTAGCTTCTAGCCGTTCCACACAGCAGTCGACTGCCTCTAAAGTACCAACTCCAGTCACGACAGTTACGACCACACGCTTAGTGGCTTCAACTAGCACCAAGGGCACAACAGTTCAGACCACTCCGCTGTTGCAGTCAACTAGCGCAACGGGCAGCTCTATTCCTCAGATCAAGATATCTGCTTCACCAACAGGCAAAATGGAACAGAATGACGGTGACTCGGTTGGATTTAGTTTAGTTACTAGCATTGTTATTCCCCTGGTTTTACTGGCTGTTCTGCTAGGCGTTTTTATTCTGATGTTATTGGCTAGGTCAGGAATCTTTTTCTCTAAGAGCAGTCATCCGTGGATTATTGCTGTTGGTAGATCAACCGGCCCCAAAAATATGCCAGACCCGAGAAATCAGTTTTACCGGAATCGCGATGGTAGTGACTGCGTTGACCAGAGTCCTGCGGCCGAACTGAGGAATCCCGGGTTGTATTCGTCTGTTGGACCTGGGTACGGCAATCCAACCAACCATCCCCAGACACCTCCTGATATAGCCGCTGCTCATTATGACCGTGTTACAGAGAACGAGTCGTACACGTACGCTACCTGTGATGGTGCTGCTCCGATGGGTTATGGAAATACGGAAACGAAGCAGAAAGATGCTGGTGAGCCATACGCTAGTGTGCAGTCAATGTTTGATCAACCAGCACAGGAAGTCAAGTCAAATCCGGCGAACAACGAAACACAGGCAGCTGGATGTGAAAGCTCAGCTCCAACTGTAAGCTACGCAGTTCCTAATAAGCGGAATACAACAGATCTTTGCAGACACTACGAAAAGGCAGAGGAGTGCACGGCTACTAAGCGTGATGAAGCACCCAGCACTACAAATTCAATCGAACACATATGTCGTGCTACGGATGTAACATCACTTAGCGTCTTATCGAAGTCCGCACAATCAGCAGTAAATAACCAGGATAAGTCTATCAATCCAGATGATGTGGAGCGCAAACAACGCCGTGGTCTGAGTGACGCAACAACAGTAGTATGCCGCGATACCACCACCACCACCACCAGCACCAACCCGCAGTCATCTCGCTTATCCCTTCCAGCCACATACACGTCGACACCGGCCGAGTCAGACAGCCAAAGGTGTGTGTCTCCATCTCCAGTCCCAAAGCCTCTGCCATATCGGGTATTCAAAGTATTGAAGGACAGCCAGTGCGATTACATGAACCCACAGGACACAGTCTCCAGTCAAGGGGCTGACCAGCCTAATACAGACACAGATCCTAACATATATGCAGAACCAGCCACCTCCCTGAGCGATGATATATTGTGCAACGCATCCACCCTTGGCAAAAGAGATGAGGTGGGTGGTATCTGCACTGTGCCGCTTGATCTTCCTGATCCTTCTGCCATTTATGCTGTGCCACAGAAAAACTGTGAAACATGAAGTATGTTCATCTTTTCAGATCGCAATCGCTTGCTTCTCACCATTTATCATCATTTCCTGTCCAGGATTAAAATTATTGTTGTCCGTGCAGACGACTTCCAAAATCAATCATTTGTTTCCACGCTTTGTTTCTAAGTCGAATTTCGGAATTACATCAAGTGAAATTATTCACAGAATCTGCACGAACATATCCCCAACCCTGTAACGTTCTATTGGACTATCCGTATCCGCACCGTACCACCCGATTCTACCTATTTTTTCTCTTTTACGTTTACTTTATACCAGGCGTGGGCCATCCCCTGTACATAGGTGCCATCATTTTTCTTTGTTTCTTTACGGTTGCACTTTTTGTAGCTCCATTTTATCTGAAAAAAATGTCATGCACCTAAACAAAAAAGATTCTATCTATTTTGCATGTAACGCAGGTGATATTTTTTAATCGATTATTTACTATCACAACCGCCCGCTCTGTCTACTCTGACAATACTGCTAGCCTGTCAGTTGTTTTAATTCGTTATAATAATATCTGAATGAAGTTGAGGACTTTGTGTTGCCTTCAATGTTACAATTCATACTTGTATACTTTCAGTTTCTCTCCCCTCTCCTCTCACCCAAGCCATTCTGCATAAGCGAAGCTGTTGACGCAGCATACTGCTGCTACACTTCAACGCGGGAATGCGTATAACGAGAGAGCTTGAAAGCTCAGGGCCCTGCGCTATGTTGTGTTGCCTAGCTCCTCGTGCATGTTGATAGAACTGATGGAAATGCTTTTTCCTTTGATTAGCTACATCATTGTATGGCAAAAACGTTTGAATGAGATACTGAAGTAACGTCTTCTGCATAGCTATGGGACCGGCGCTGACTCTGCCGATCACGGGCGTTCTGGAGTCGACGGGATGTCTGTCCTGACGTTTCCTGGGACCGGCGCTGACTCTGCCGATCACGGGAGTTTATCTTCTTCTTATTATTATACTGACGGCAACTAACATCCATTCTGATTGCATTTACTCGTCTCCCTACTTCGAAGTTCTTTCCAGAAAATCTCCCCATACAGCAGGGAGTCGTTTACATAATATGACTACCTGCTATACATTTACATGACTGTATAAACGTTATAATTATTATGCTATCCGCCTACATGCGATTCCCGGGCTGGTCGACAGGCGGCCCAGCCAGCCTGCTAGTGGGATCTCGGCCTCGCACACAAATCCAGACAAAATGTTACTGCACTGAATGCATTCCCCCCATACACTTCGCATATATACTCATTCTCTTGTTGGTACCGTACTCTTGATGGTACGGGACAGGTACGGGATAGCGCTAGGCATGTCGATGGCACAAACAAACAAAAATATTGTGGCCAGCTGTCTTTGCTGGTACGGCACAGTATGGGACAGATACGGGATAGCGCCAGGCGTGACACAAACAAACAAACAAACAAACACACAAACACACAAATACCAAACGAGAGAGCTTGGAAGCTCAGGGCCCTACGCTATGCTTTTATGCTTTTTTGCCTTGCTCATCGTACATGTTATAAGAACTGAGGCAAAAGTATTTGCAGAATTTATTGCGGATTGTTATTTCTCTAATAATCATCTACTTTTGGTTTGCTTCTTCTTTTCTTTTTATCTCCTTATACTGTAAATCAACAAATTTTGGCCGATGAGATATAGAAACCTTTCTATTAAAGAGGTTAAGATGCACGTTATTTCTGACGTGACGCGCAATTTCACGTCAAATTTGAAATCGTTCGGGATTTTTGCTCTCAAATGAATCAATTGCTCAATCATGCATCATTTGCCTATGACAAATTTTGGCCTGCGATTTACTTTGGCCGCTTGGTACCAAGCGGCGAAATCAGCGAAATTAAATCGCAAGCGAAAATTAGTTGATTTTAATACAGTAATCGGATTTTCTGGCCTTTTTGAAGTAATACATGTACATTGACCTGTTGAGCCAATGACGACGCCTAATGCATGGTTGCCTGTGGAGCACATTACATAACTTAGCAGTCTCCTAAAATACGTATCCTGTCCGACGGCAAAAGAGTCTGCAGATTTAGTTTTTCTGCGCGTCGACCGGATGTCTGCGACGCGAAAGTTCAGCTCGCGTTATTTGGCTCGCACGTCGAAAAATCAACGCAAGTGACCTGCTGCTCACGTGGAAATTTGGACATTACATAACTTTACAGCCTCCTATAATACGTATCTGGCAAAAGACGCTGCAGTTTTAGTTTTTCTGCGCGTCGACGGAATATCTGTCCTGACGTTCACTGGGACCGGCTTAGACTCTGCCGATCACGGGCGTTCTGGACTCGACGGGATGTCTGTCCTGACGTTTCCTGGGACCGGCGCTGAATCGCTCGTTCACGCTTATTTTGGAGACGACGGGATCTCTCTTCCAAAGTACATGTATGTTAATGCGGACGCATCCTATCACCTATTCGGCGTCTATTCTAATTTAATTTCCTCCTCGTCTCCCTATTTCTTTCCAAATCTCTCTCTACATCAGGGAGTCGTATACATAATACGACGAATATTGGTACGTTACAGGACAGATACAGGAGCCCGCAAATATTGTGGACAGCTGTTATGTACAATCCTGTAGAGCCTTTGTAGTCACAGATACGGGACAGATACGGGACAGCTACGGGATAGCTCCAGCCGTGATACAAACAAACAAACAAACAAACAAACAAACACCAAATTAAAGCTGTGTGGACCCTGGCTAGCGCCAGACGTTACTGAAGTAACGTCTTCTGCATAGCTACGGGAATTAAAGCTGTGTGGACCCTGGCTAGCGCCAGACGTTACTGAAGTAACGTCTTCTGCATAGCTACGGGAACGAGAGAGCTTGGAAGCTCAGGGCCCTACGCTTTGCTTTTATTGTAAAAAGGCCAGAAAATCCGATTATATGGAGATAAAAAGGAAAAGAAGGAGCAAACCTCATATTCAAACTGATTGAAACGTTTTTGCAATACAATGATGTAGCCAATTAACAGATTTGGCTTTGTTTTTCTTTCCTTTCTTTCTTGTTTTGAATTGTATGTTGAACTCATTGGATTTCTTTGTATTCTGTATCTTGTTATCGTTATATTTCCCTCTAGCCCTCTTGCTTAGGATGAGCTTTCTTTTTTTATGGCAGCTTAAGCGAAGGCTATATACCTGCTTTATGCAGGTTGATGCCAATGCGAACAAGCAAAATAATAATAATAATAAAAAAGCCAATTAAAGGAAAAAAACATTTCCATCAGCTCTAGTAACATGTACGATGAGCTAGGCAAAAAATGTCCTGATGTCTGTCCTGACGTTTTCTGTGATCGGCGCTGACTCTGCCGATCACGGGCGTTCTGGCCTCGACGGGATCTCTCTTCCGACGTTTCCTGTGACCGGCGCTAAATCGCCCGTTCACGCTTATTTTGGAGTCGACGAGATGTCTGTCCTGACGTTTCCTGTGACCGGCGCTGACTCTGCCGATCACGGGCGTTCTGGACTCGACGGTATCTCTCTTCCGACGTTTCCTGTGACCGGCGCTGAATCGCCCGTTCACGCTTATTTTGGAGTCGATTCTGCGTCTGTCCTGACGTTTCCTGGGACCGGCGCTGACTCTGCCGATCACGGGCGTTCTGGAGTCGACAGGATCTCTCTTCCGACGTTTCCTGTGACCGGCGCTAAATCGCCCGTTCACGCTTACTTTGGAGACGACGGGATCTCTCTTCCAAAGTATCTGTCTTCTAAAGTCTGTTTTTGCTGATTCATCCTATCACCTATTCCGCAACTAGCGTCCATTCTAATTTTATTTCCTCCTCGTCTCCCTATTAATTTTCTTTCCAAATCTCCCTCTATATCAGGGAGTCGTATACATAATACGACGAATATTGTGGCCAGCTGTTATGTATAATCCTGTACAACCTTTGTAGTCACAGATACGGGACAGATACGGTAGCTCCAGGCGTGACACAAGCACACAAACAAACAAACACCAAATCACAGATATTTTTATTGGACAGATACGGTAGCTCCAGGCGTGACACAAACCGACACACACAAACAAACAAACACCAAATTACAGATACGGGACAGATACGGGACAGATACGGTAGCTCCAGGCGTGACACAAACACAAAAACACACAAACACACAAACACCAAATTAAAGCTGTGTGGACCCTGGCTGGCGCCAGACGTTACTGAAGTAACGTCTTCTGCATAGCTACGGGAATAATAATACTTTCAGTGCTGTTGTTGCACCTTCTTAAGGGTGTACAGGTGTTATTAACCCTGACTTTGGTTTTCTTTCACCTGTATTGCAATGTCCTTTAGACTTTTGTTCAGCAAATATTCCTGAAGAGTGTTGCACGACAACTTGTTAGAATCATGAATATTGTCTTCACTACATTTCTTCCATTGTTATATTTCTTTTCGGT